GTCTAGAAAGGCTAGAGAGTCTAGAAAGGCTAGAGAGTCTAGAAAGGCTAGAGAGTCTAGAAAGGCTAGAGAGTCTAGAATGGCTAGAGAGCCTGAGGTGCCTGGAAAGGCCCAGAAAGGCTGATTATGTGTACTGATATCTGTATCTACATATCAAGGTCACATTTACATCCCTCAATCCACCTATAGATATATATGAGTGTGTAGCTCTTCTCATCCTTCCAGCCTCTCTAGCTTCTCTAGATTAGGTATAAACTCAATGTTTTGACCTCTCTGGCTAAGTGGGAACAACTCTGATTCGTAATCGTGTGTAGCGTTTGCTTCATCCAAAGCGGAGCCACGGCGCATTGGTTTCATATTAAAATCAAACGTATCACAATGCCAAGTGCCATCTTTACTAAGGACTGCAGCAGTTAGAGTAAATTGATTGCTTCTAATACAACAAATGCCATTGTCTTTTGGATCTAATATATCTTTTATATTCCATTGTTTAATTAATTTCCATGACGGTAATGAGAAACGTTGGATCAGAGAATCGTCGTTCGTACTAACAAAGACGTTAGTATCATTCGTTGTTAACGACCAAAAATTTTGTTCTTCGTCCGCTTTGACTTCGTGTACATTAGTCAGTTTTAAGGTTTCCGGGCTTAGCAAAAATAATGCTTTAGAGTGAAGAATAAGAAATGCAAATAAATATGATGACCAGCATAAATCAGTAATAGTACCGTTAAGCGTTATGTCGATTGTAAAGTCTTTTAACAGCTTTTCACGATGATATAAAATAAGTTTTGGTGGTTGGAATTGATGTATCAAAATATGCTCAGCTGAAGAAGCAATACTGGACGCTGTTCCCTTCAATGGAATTTGTTTAATTAACTGCAGTTTGTTCAAATAATGCACACTAAATACTAACGGATGCTGCTGCTCAAATTCTGTCTTTTCTTTCGTTATTTTAATTGTATCATCCAATTTTATTTGATCATGGAGGATATCGATTAACGTTTCTTTTGAGAATGTATCGATTTCTCGTTGAATTTCATTTAATTTTGTGTCGAGTAATTCTAATTCATGTGGATGAACAGATTTTTGTTTTGTTGTCAATGTTGGTAGATATTTTCTCAATTCAACTGATCGTTTTTCTTTCATATTCTGTAATTCGCTTGCCGCTTGTGCATAAATCAAGTCAAATTCGTTTAATTTCAAACGATGAAATTCGTTGATTGATTCTATCTGTTCTTGCTTCCATTTATCTAATATACCATAACATTTTACACGCAATGGTTCTATTGTTAGTATTTCAATGTTTTGTTGGATTTGGTTCAACCGATCATTCATTGAATGATATCTGTTTTGGATATCTTCTTGCTGGTGTTGGTTCAAGTGTTCCAGACACAACCACAATGAACAATGAGGACACTGGCAATACTGGTGACCATAGCATGCTTCCTCGTTATCGTTTCTCGTAATGTGTTGACAAATACCTTCATAACAAACAGATTTTCGTGCTAAATAAGATAAAGGCATCTGAAGAAAGAAAAATATGATAGTACATTGCTAGAGGTATTTATAGACACAACATGATTGTGTGTCCATCACTGGTAGAGTGAGCAAATTGAACACACATGCCAGATATTTGTTGCTGTAAGACGACTTTAGTTCCAACCAAGCGTGCTCAGCCTGCTTGTATACGATTAATTCTGAGAATTTAAACTACGATCCCTTCCTGTACAATGCGAGAACTGCATTTTAACCAAATACAATCATTCCCGCATCTTGATTCTACGACGATGTTCACACATTAACTTTATTATGGCACATTCAAAATGCTTCATTTTATCTTGAACAACTTCAAATATAGCGTCACTGTAAGGGTTGAAACATTTTCGTTACCACAGAGATTGTCGGCAGACCCATTGAAAAATTGCTCTAGAAAGCAAGAACTTACGTGTGAATGATTTATTGGTTTGATGTTTTTGTGGTAGTGAAATCGAACATGTCTTCCTATTGTATAATAAAGAAGAAATGTCAATAAAACGTCAACTGTTTTTCGCCCTCAACAACAATAGAAGAACAGAAAACAGAAAAGCATGTTATTATATCATCGTCTTACATGACGAAGAAAAAAGGCTTACAAACTCATGCTTTTACACTGAAAAAAAGGAGAACGAAAGAACAACTTTATACGTAATTAAAAACAATAAAACAGAATTGCAGTTTTGAATTAATAGCATTAGGTTTCTTAAAAACAAGAGTTTTAATTCTACGCGGACATTGTACGCGGATATATAAACAGCGCTTTCTGAGAAGTTAATTCTCTTAAGACTTATTCTTAATATCACATCTCGACTCTATAAAAAATAAGGTTTGCGTACGAAACCTAAAAGAGTTTAGACAAATGCAACCATTTTTAAGCCCTTTTTCGATTTCGTTCGGAGAAAGGTGAGGTACGAAATTCTTTTGGTGCACTAGAACGACTGATTAGTGCCATTTGCTTATTTTCTCATGTTTTTTCCTCATGATTTCTTCATAAATCAATGATTACATCTTTGTCATATGCACTTCTTAATTGAAGCTCTGATTTAAATAGATTTTACCAAAGCCATTTTTAAGTTATTTTGAGGTATGCATTACTTTGAATGAAACCTGTTGATTCAGCCATAACCACAAACTGCACACTAATTATATTTAACCTAGACTGATGAGTATTTCTTTTACGTTTATTTAACTCACTTGTAATAAGGAAAAAACCAAGACTAAATAAATCAATGATAAAGTTTTGCTATTATAAATGGATTCTCGTTTTATCGTAAACAATCTTTTAACATAAACGCAAGTGATTTTAAGGACGACAGTAGTTTTATTTAACAAAGATTTATCCAATAATGCTGAGGGTAAGTAGCACTATAGTAATCCTAGACGTCAGAGATGTACTGTATGTACCAGCAACCGGCCCGGTCACGAATTTGCTGAGCTAAGTAAAACAAAGCTTTTCATGTTTCAGATTAAGAAAGTTAGTTTGGTTTTCTCTTGTTTGTCAACAGTCTTCGAGAGCAGGACTGTTAATCTCTACTATGTGAATATTTTCTTTCTTTTTAATGTTTGTCGCACTATTTATCGGCGCTAAAATACAAGAACGGTGGTTATTTTTTGAATAACTCAAGAGGAATAAAAGATAGAGACTTGTGGTTTTCATCATTCGCTAGCCAATATCTGAGGCAATGTTTTCACAAGCAAAAACGAGTTTGGAAAAATTTCCAAGATCGTTTTTTCCGGAGATCTGTGGAAAACCAGTTCGGTTCTCTGAAAGCTGACACAGAAATCTATGGACTTGTTTTCATACATATATAGTCCGAAGTGTCCTCTACAAGACTGGATCTAAGGGACATCTGGAAAATCCATGGTTCGAGAGCTATCGATGTTTTTCCAGAAGCCTTAACGCTCCTCTGTCGTTAGGCTTTTACACCTACACACTGGGAAAATATGTTATCGGCCGGATCAGAAATTTTTCGATCGGTCGAGAAAATCTTGACCTAAATTTTGCGTTTATTCATATTTTCTCTATCAATAATTTTTGTGTGATGAACCTGCAGCATTCGTTATTGATCAATGCTATGCTGAAGATGAAGAAAGAACAAAGAAAAATTTGTTTTTATCAATATAAATTTCAATTATTTATTTATTCAAATTTTCCCACCCTCACAAAACAGCCAGCAGTATTAATCAGTTTCGAGATCAAATTATAAGGGATGGCATTTCAAGTACACAGCTTGTCCAAACGTGACGAAATTACGTTTTTGACGCACAAAACTCTAGTTTTCTCGCGAACCACACGAGCTAGAAAGTTGATTCTAGCGTCATTCGACGCAGCTTTTCAAATTCCAGCTATGGTAAAAAAAATAAAGTTTCTCGGAATTAATGTCAAGGTTCCAGAGCAATTTTACGGAGTGTGATGAAATTACAAAAAAAGACCGCTAATTTTTGGTTTTACTAGTAAAACTGTAATTTCTTGCGAAGTTAAGGATCCAATCTGAATCATCCTAGAAAACATTTTGTAGAGCGCCTCTCGGGCTATCGACTGGTAAAAAAACATTTTGCGAAAAGCTTTTCCAGACTAATAAAATGCTTATTTTATTTCGTGACGAAATTACGCTCATCGTGACGAAATTACACACTTTTACAGTTCTATGCATTTTTGCATTAATATGCATAAAACTCAACTAAATCCAACTACAATGAGTACGAAAAACCTTTTTTACTGCTTACAAAGCCGGCAAACATTTCTATTTTGCTCATGCGCTTCCTCA